TATATATATATATATATAAATCTATAGACAAATACACACACACATAAACATTATATGCTTCGATTTACCAATTAATGAGTTGTTTATTTTATGGCAATTAGGAGGCAGGTTTGGAGACGTTAATGAAAATGGCATCTCATTTTACAACAAGATAATTGATTACTTACTGCTTAAAGGTGCTTATCTTAGCAATTCAATAAGAAAAGAACACTTTGTTTTCATAGTTAGTTATGCATTACTTTGATTATTTATGTAATTAAACTGAGTTAATGAATCAGGAATACAGCCGTTTGTGACATTATGCCACTATGATATTCCTCAAGAACTAGAGGATCGATACGGCGCATGGTTGAACTCTCAGATACAGTATGCATGGTGCTCTTTGTCTTCAACATTTCAATATTGATATGATATTTTCTTTGATTTTTATATAGTTTAGTAGGAATAATAGAGTTTGAATATAAGTATTGAGATTGTTGTGTGCTAGAAAATTCTCAATGGCGATAAAGAAGAGATATGAGAACACAATTTTTAGGTGAAAAACTCGTGAACGAGAAAAATTAGGAGGTCTAGCCCTATCTGAATAAATTTACTTTATATTTCAAGCTATAGAGTTTCACCATTTTATCCAACTAGAGGATGGAGTTACAGAGTTTTAAATGAGTCACACAGATCAAGCACCAATGACATTAACATAATTGGTTATGATTGTTGATAATTGTCGACTTCAATTTTTTTGTGAAGTGTGGTAACTGAGCTCTTAGCTCCTCTCCTGTCATGTTGAAAATGAGGACCTGTTTATAGAGTTTTGGGAGGGAGTTCTGACAAGTTTAACAAAAATTTTAAAATAGTTCACATTATATGTGCTGATTCCTGTGATAATTTATAATTCTTTTAGCATTTAAGTACTTTAATGGCTTTAAATTGCGATTAATCTTGAGCTCGTTGGCTTTTTCTCGCCGAGACGTTCGATTTGATTGTAAGCATGTTAAATTTGAAGATTATGTGATAATTCAATTAATGTTTTAAATTTTTAATCATACATCAAGTACTTGATCTAAGCCTATTTGTGCTCGGATCAAATCACTTTCAATATCATTAGTTCTGCATTTTTGAGATATTTTAATTGGTTGTAAGGTTATTGAAACCAGTCCAGATGATCTCCTTTTTAACTCTGAATAAAATGTCTTATCGACTGGTGTCTAGATTTGCGTTTTATCATGCAGATTTTCAGGTGACATCAAAATGCTACTATTTTTGTTACTAATGAAATTTATCTTCTCTTGAGCTAATGATTTATATTTTGTTTTCTACAGAGAAGATTTTGGATATTTTGCAGATATATGCTTTAGAGAATTTGGTGAAAAAATAAAATATTGGAGCACTTTTAATGAGCCAACAGTCTTGGTCAATAAAGGATATCGATTGGGTTTATATCCACCAGGTCGTTGTTCAGCACCATATGGCCATTGTTCATCAGGAGATTCTGACACAGAGCCTTTCTTTGCCGCCCATAATGTCATATTGTCACATGCCACCGCAGTCAATATTTATCGAACAAAATATCAGGTTAGGATCAAAGTTAAACAATACCTATTTTTTAAAAATTAATTTTGTTTCAATGATTAATATATATTTATATAACTACCCCTATTGTTGTTTAAAGAGTAAACAAAGAGGTTCTATAGGCATTGTGGTGTCTACAACATGGTACGAGCCATATGAAGATACTCCAATCGAAAGGAAGGCGGCGGCAAGAGCCGATGCTTTTGAAATTGGATGGTAATGTTTATATTCATAAATATGCACATAAACATTAGAAGAAATAACTATTTGGCTTTAATCTATAGCATTTTTTATTTATATTCTATAGGTTTCTTGATCCAATAATGTATGGCTCTTATCCACCAGAGATGGTCCAAATCATAGGATCAATATTGCCAACATTTTCACCAAGTGATAAGAGGAAATTGAACAATAGCTTGGACTTTATTGGAGTCAATCATTACACCTCTTTATATGCAAAGGATTGCTTGTTTTCAGAATGTCATTTAGGTCCTTTTCAGAGCAATGGGTCTGTGCTTGGCCTTGGGTACAAAAATGGCATTCCCATTGGACCAAAGGTTAGTGTTATATCAGCCATTTATATACAGAACACCCCAATTTATATGTATTTACATATCTAACGATTAAATTTTACCTTTTTATATTTATACCGTCCAACTCTTGATTATCATATCAAAAATATCATCATTTTAACTTTTACAGAAGTAAAATACAGATTTTCATGCATATGCAATGCCCAAAGTTACTGATTTGTCAGCACAAAATATTCAAATTTATTATTTATATAAATAAATTGTAAATTGTAAATTCGAGGGGAGGGGAAATTGCCCCTTCTAGACATAACTCGGTTCCGCCTCTATAATTATGTATGGTGGTATACATGTACCTAAGATCAGTTGAGAATTTTTGTTTTGCAGACTGGAATGGGAAACCTATTTGTTACACCACATGGCATGGAAAAGATAGTTTTGTATGTAAAGGAAAGGTATAAAAATATGCCTATGTTTCTCACAGAAAATGGTAAGAAAGATGAAGGGAAACAGGGTTATTTGTATAAATGGAGGAAAATGTGGGTTTCTTTAGTTAAATGATTTTGAATGCAGGTTATGGACAGAAGAGCAGTAACAATGCAGCAACTGAGGACATTATCAATGATAATGTCAGAGTAGAGTTTCTGAGAAGCTATATGACTTCACTATCCAGTGCTATGAGGTAATTGCTAGAGTTAAAAAACAACATTAGTTATTTATTTTATTTTATTTTATTTCTTTGTCTCCTTTGTTTATGTTTCTTAAAGATTAAATGTTAACAATGAGCCTTTAGTTGTCTTCATCCCACAATGGCATTTATAGAAAGACTTTCTTTGCAAATGTGAAAGAAATATGCTAAAAAAATTCATATAAAATATTAATATGTTATTTGCTATGTTGCATTCATTTTAAAGAAAAATGTCTTCTTGCTCGTGGAAGTTATTTGTTATTTTGAATATTTTTGTAATGGTAGGAAAGGAGCTGATGTAAGAGGCTATTTTATATGGTCTCTTCTAGACAACTTTGAATGGGTGCATGGTTACTCGGAAAGATTCGGGCTTTATCATGTTGATTATAAAACACTGAAGAGAACTCCAAAATCATCAGCTAAATGGTACCAAAAGTTTCTTCAAGAGATGGAGATCAACCATTAATTTCATGATGTTACAGGAAAGTATTATGTTGTGATGATTTTGAAGAATGTATGGTATTGCTTATTTTGTCATGCGAGATGTTTGAATTATTTGTGTGTTGTGATATCAATATTATGGAAGTATTAGGCATGATGTCTTGATAAATTGAGTGAAGATCCTTTACTCTTATGAAAATTTAGTTTAATTTTTTTTAATGATATAAATATCCATTGGAAAAGGTTTTATTTGGTTTGAAAGAATTGAAAAGGAGGGATAGAAATAAAGGAGGCCGAGGGAATTGAGTTGAAATTAGATTGCCAATATTTTGGGTGGAGGAATGGTGCGAAAGATCTTATGCATTTGTGCTAAGAATTTGATCAATTTGTCAAATAGGAATTGATAAAAAAAAATTGGAAGAACGAAGTTCCTTAACGTTTGTTCAAAACTTAAACAAAATGATAATCAACTAAATTTCATTATGCTAGTCAATTCAGGAGCAGAAGCATAAGACTCGAACCTAATTTCTAGCAAGCTAAAAAATTGAATTCAACCAACACGCACACACACACACACACACTTTCTACACACACAGACGATTTCACAAAGTAAATAAATGAATGTGGGATTAAAGAGGAGAATTTTAGATTGATATGTGATTCAATTGACGCCTTATAGAGGAATTTTTTTTTTGACAACTATTAATTCTTGTCATGCTCACACTCGATTAGTCACTCATAATTATATATGAGGATTAATGTTAGTGGCACAAATTGGGCTACATGGTAAAATAATAAGAAAAGTTTACAAGCTTAGTCGGTGTATCTAGTCTGGCAACTAGTGAGTTTAGCTATTAATTGCTAAGTAGTGCAAGCACTTAGTTTTAGATAAAGGTCAAGTAGTCTTTCAAGCTGCTCTAGTGTTAAAACCTAGTCAATAGAAGAATACTCTAGATGAACAAATCTTAATGAAATTAGTGATAAGGCAGAGTCTAAACCAAAGTCCAAGTGAGAATAGAGTTTGAAGGCAATCAACCATATGATGAAATGTCTTGAAGAGTATTCATACATTAAAATCTTTATATAAAGGAGAATGACTCACCAAAGGAAACGATAACAACCCCATAAAGTCATTGCTAAAGCTACAAAGGTGAAAACCTTTTAGAAAATTACTTCTTTGAAGCTTTTTATGCAAGCCAAAAGATTGCGACTAAGTGAAGATGTTTCATGACTCAGCCTAAGAATTTGAAATTTTCAAAGCAAAAATGGATGATCAAACAGTAAATTTAAAATTTTTTATTTTCATTTTTAATCAGTAACAAGTTACCATCTAAATAAATTAAATGAGCAACTAAATAAAGTAATTTAATTTATAGTAAATCATATAATAATTGATAAAATATATATAATATCTGCTCATGGAAAGAATCTTAATTTTTAGTTTAATTTTTTACCTTCTTTTTTATTCTTAACTTGTACATCCATCTTAAGAGCATATCATGCTTAAAATTTTGTGAAGCAACAATAATACTCAAGTATATATGTCAATCAAGTAATATATAGATTACGAGGCAACATATCAATCCTATAGAGAACGAGCTAACTAATTTTAAGAATAGGAAAAGTTCTAATCTGCAGGCTTAAGTACTTTAGCTTGAAGAATTAAAATTGGGTGAATTTTGAAAGTCACTAACTTAGTTTTTATAATAATTGAAACCTACTAACTAGTTTTAGAGTTTTAATCAAGTGAGAAAATCTCCCTTGAATTGGACCTAGCAATTTAGCCCTATATATGGACTCTAATGTTGTTGACAATCAGGAATAATAGTTTTTCTTAGTCTATCCCGATGGTCGTAAGAAAAATTGGGGTTTCATATTATAGTTAATCTCTTAACCATGTAAAAACCCTTAATATTTACAAATTTTCTTGCACGATTGCACTATCCTAACAATAATATTCCTATTCTCTTAAAGTATAGTATGCCAACCTAATTGTTTCGCTAGCCTACTTCCGTAGTATCAAATCACAACCCACTTTTACAATTTATGTGACCAATTTAGGAGTAAATTACAAACAAAAGGTTAAACTATCAATTTATAAATAAATAACATGCATTCACATAACAAAGACTCCATCAATTTGCATATGATCTAATTTAAGGGAGAGAAAAACTTAAATCGTACTCATTAAAGTTGAATACAATGAAAATTTTATTGCAAAATTAAAGTTTAATAAATTTAGAATGATCTCACTAATATTCTTTAATGATTCACATGAAATTACAATGAAATCCATTACTTACCACTATTTTAAATACAGAAATGGACACACACACACACACTTACACTTATTTTCACTCACAAGAACTCTCACACAATCATGCTCTTCTATGATCCCTCCAGCGAGGCGTATTGAATGTGGGGAGCATTCTCCACAAACTCCTTTCTCCAATCTCTCCATCATGTTTTCCTTTTCACCTCACTGAGAGATATCCTTGCCTCTGCAAATCCTTCTCTTAATGTCACTGGATGCCACACCATGATGCCATGTCAACTTGATAGTCCTAATTCATGGAGTGGTTAGCCAATACAGGAGTTCCTCCCTAGAGCACCAAAATTCTACTCACTATCGTCTTGCTTCTAGGTTATACACCAAGTTTCCCATAGGTATTGTTGAAGTTGATGGTGGGAAATGGTGACAACCGGTGGTCATGGACAGCTGTTGAGGCCTACGGATGCTGATGGTCAATGGTGGATGGCGGCTATAAAAGCCCGTGATTACTAATCGGGTCTTCTTTTAAAAAAAAAACTAAAATTTTACTTATTCTCTTCTCTCCCCCTCTAAGTGAAGAGAGATGTTAAAAAGCAATTTTTCCAAAAATTAATTTTGATATTAAAAAAAAAAAAATTGTGCAAATTTTATTTTTAAAAGATTTTATTAAAAATAATAGGTAATTAATTAAAACATATGGATAAAATGGTATCTTTAAACCAATCTTCTAGCACTAAGGCCATTCAGAACCTCATGTAAATTAAGAAATAAAATTGAAAAAAGTGTTGCCAATAATCGACAAATTATCCTTAAAAAACCTATATTCTATTTGCAAATCACGAAATAAAATAATTAAGCACCCGATACATTGCTATTTATAAATCAATCACTCTCTTTCATCCATTTTTCGAGTTATCACTCAAATATCAATATTTATGATGCAATTTCAGCCCATTTTTTTTTTTCATATTTACCAAATTCTTGTATGTATAAATGTTTTGGATGCTTGGTATATATGTAATTATCCCAATTATAAGATGATAAATGCGGAAAAATTAACTTCAAGGGTGATGCTAAAAATAGAAGAGGTATTAAGAGGAACAACATGAGATTTAGAGGTAGTTGCCACCAATGATTTAACTTGTCAACTCGGCTCAAATTTTGAAGTTGATTATTTTGCTTGGAAATATAGAGGACCCCATCTAAATAAAGTCTTGGAAAAAAGCTCTTGATTTCTAAGTGTTTGAGAAGAACTAATTAATGGTTGTCAACATGTCATGTAAGAGGGAATAGAGACATTAGTGTTGAATTGTACAAAGAGAGTGGCATTTAAGTAGAGTAGTAATGAAATTTCAAGATAACAAATCTTAGTTTGTTGATGGAAGATATTATGTCTGGCATGTAGGATATTATATTTGGTATAGTTTCTGCAAAATTGAATGTCATATCCAATCACATGATAATGAGGTAGAAATATGATCTTCTTTCTAAATTAATTCTCTTACCGATTGCCCTTCTCTTGAGAACTAATTAATCCAAATGATATATCAAAGATACATGTCACATCAATCTCCACAAGGGCTCTAGTTATCAATGGTCTTAGACATAGGCAATGTAAGAACTAATACAAAAAGAGTTCAATGAAAAAGTGTGATTTGAGAACTTAAAATATGAAGATCATATTGCAACCTACATAAAAGAACCTACTGTCAAGTGTTGTCGTAGGGCGGGATATGACAACATTAATAAAAGCTCTGCTAGTTTGTGTTATGATAAATAAAGGTTTTTTGGCGAGTTATAGTCCTCAATTGGGGAAAATATTTAGAGCACATATTTTATATCGAGCAAAACTACTAAGAATTACTTAGAAAGTTGTATGGGTTAAAGTGAAGTACAAATGAAGTGAAGAGATGGATGGCCACTCATCCATTTCCTAAGCAAGCACAACTACATGCATAGGATGTTAAATGTGATAGTTTATAATTGGCGATTTTTTTTAAAAGGGGGCAAAAACGTGAATATTTATTGTGATTTAAGGAATGCAAATTATTTTTGTGTTTATATTAAAAATATTTAATTAATATTTATTTTAAACATTTTAAAGTAATAAATAATATTATATTTTCAAATTATTTTTGTGTTTATATTAAAAATATTTAATTTATATTGATTTTAAACATTTTAAAGTAATAGATAATATATATTTTCGTTTAACTGTTATATAATAAAAATAATTAATTAATATTATTATTTTTAACTTTTAAACTAATTAATAATATTAATTATTGAGACAAAAATTCAAATAATAATTAAATTTTACTAATAATACTAATTTTTTACATAAAAATTCAAATAATATTAAATTAATTATTTTTATATATTATAATAAATTTTAAAATTAAAAATATTTTATTTTGAAATTTATAATATGAAGTTGTTTAAAATTTATATCACTTTATTTAGTTTAAAATAATAAAATTGAGC